TACTATTGTTTTTCTAAAACAATTTTTTTAATTGAAAGGTAGACTGGGGTTTACATTTCATATCGTCAACTTTGTATCCAGTATTTTAAACTACTAATCAAACTCCCCCATAGTTTACCCTGCACCCTCTTGTCGACTACTATCTTCCACTTCCCTGAAGCCAACACCCATCCATAGTCTAGACCACAGGCTCATCTTCCTCCCTGACCTCTCCACTTTGGCAATCTCCAAAACCTGGTGCCTTTGTATGGAAGTTTTTATCCTGGTGTAGTGTTTTTGTTTATTTGTTTTTTTCCTTAGAATAGTGGTCTCATAATTTCAGTGAGCAAAACATTCTTCAGCCAATCCATGCCATAAGGTACTTCATGGTTTTGTAATTGTTTTTTTAGGGATGCATAGTATTCCATTGTGCATATGCACCAAAGTTTTTTATTCATTTTTATCTGATGGGCATTTAGGTTGTTTTCATCTTCTTGTTATTGTAAACAGTCTTACATGAACAAAAGTGTGCATATGTCTGTTCATGTTATGACTCTTCTTTAGAATGTTATTTTTAGCTGTATCAATATGGTAGTCAAAATAGAAGCTCTCGCAGTTTACTCATTTGCTTTTCCTATTAGAGAAGTTGAACCCATCGTGAAATTTCACTGTAGTAATAATATGCTAGAATTTAAATAATAATGTAGTTTTGCCGATAGCTGAATCATGAGATACAATGCAATTGATAATTTATTAGTGCCTGAATCTACATATGGAAAATAACATGATGTGATTCAAATATATTCAGTGCTTTTTTAAAGAAACATGATTATATTTTTAAAAATCTAATTCAGGCTAAATGTGTAGCCCCTTCCCTTCCTATTACATGCAAGCCCATAAAGATAAAAAGAAAATTATACTGAGTAGGTTTTACATATGTAGGTGCTCTGATGGCAATTAGCATGTTATAATAACACAATTAAGTCTATAAGATTATCCATTTATGATTGAGACTGCCAAAAATAAGAAGACCAAGCAAGAATTGATAAATTTACACAGTATTGTGTTTTTTCCTCAAAACTACAGAAACATTTCTAAATTAAGACCAAAAAGTAAAATATCACAAGCCATCAAAGTGATAATATTTACAAAGTAATTGATAAAAATATCTCTCTCTGTGAGTGACAGTTCCAAGATGACTCAATTCTCAGTTGTTTCTTACAAGAGTCAGCTCATATAGCCTCAATTCAGATCCTACTTTCTAAATATGAAACAGCAGAGGGCAGGGGAGGAAGGGGGGGAGGGGAATAGGAGACCAAAACCATTTCCTCTAAAATCCATCCCATTCAGATCCATAAAGGTAGGAAATCAAAAACTTCAATAATATTTATCATTAAGCTTTTGTGGAAAATATTTCTGACCTCCCTTTAAAAAAAACCCACATACACAAAGGGGGAAACTGATTCACCGGCAGAGGGGTCACTTCTCTTTACTACAGACATCAAAAATAAGGCTGTGGATTTCATTACCAAAAGTGATAGCAAAGAAGACATAAGAATCCTGTGAACTTGGACTGGTATTGATAGAAGAAAAAACTTAAAATTATCAAAGATCTCTGGGAACAATCGTGGACTGGATATTAGATATTCTTATAGAATTTTTGTTAATTTTCTTATGTATAAAATGGTCATCATCACACATAAAAAATGATCATATTCTTTCCTATAAATATGACATTTTAAAGTAGTTAGCCATAAAATGTTTGGTTCTAAAGTGATAATTTTTGGTTGGGTGCCCTCATAATAAACAAAGCAAGGAAAATGAGGAAATCTACTATTTTCTTGTCTGAGTGGAGAGAAGAGTAAAAATCAACTATCGCTGAGTCCATTGTGACCCATAGCAACCCTTCAGAACAGAACTGCTCCTGTGGATTTCTGAGATGTATACCTTTATACGAGTAGAGACCCCATCCTTCTCCCAGACAGCTGCTGATGATTTCAAACTACTAACCTTGCCATTAACAGCCCAACACATAATCCACCAGACTTCCAAGTCCCCTCAGAGAAGACTAGAATAAATATTCAAATTACTTAAAACTAGCATTAAAGACAGTGGTTTAGAAAAAAATAAACTATATGTAGACAATTACAGGTTATTATCCTATTAAGTGAACTGATCGTGAATTGTTGAGAAAGATGGATCTCACACCTTAACTGTTAATCTTGGAATTCTCCAATCTTCTAAAATAGCTGACTGATAGTAAACATAGTGGGGTCAACAGTGACATTGCTAAGAATTATTTTGTTTTATTTTCCTTAAACCCACAGGGGTAGTTCTACCCTGTCCTATAGGGTTGCTGTGAGTGAAAATTGACTCGATAGCAATTAGTTTGTGAGATACAGTGTATTACTGCTTAAAATGAGTCATTGGTACTTTTATATGCATAAGTTATAGACATCATTTAAATGATCTGTTCCAAACGTGAAGTCCCTGGAAGGATCAAATGGTTTGTCAGTTCAGCAGCTAACATGAAGGTTGATAAATCAAGCCCACCTCAAGGTCCCATGGAAAAGAACCCAGGAGAGATCTACTTCAGAAAAATCAAATGAATTTGAATTCATTTGTCTGATTTCATTAGCATCTACTCTATTCTCCTTACATACTTCGTTATGAAAGTTGTTCCTGTAAGGTTTACAATGGACTCTTCATTTACGCATCTACCGCATTAAGCTCCAGAGAATTTAAGCACATCTTTCATAGTGTCTGGTAGAAAAGAAATATCCAACTATCTAATATAAATAAAAGAAGCATGAGAAAACACGCTGTTATTTAATAGAAGAAGGGAAAATCTCTTTAACCACTTTCAGGAGAAAGTGAGATCCTAACAAATAATAGTATAGTATCCTTTTTTTTTTTAACAGTTTAACTGTCATATAACCTACAATTCAACAGTTCAATCATATCAAGAAGAATTATACTATTACCCCCAATCAAATTTACGACATTTTCTTCTTCTTCTTTTATAGTAAAATCACTTTTAAAATGAGTTGTGCAATCACAATCAGTGCTAGTGCGTGCTCCCTCCCTCCTCCCACATACATTGTTTGCTCCCCCAGTTTACTCACTCCCCCTGAGTCTCAGCCCCCACTTTTCCCTCCCCTATAAACCCTTAACTCAGTTATTATCTCTGTGTATCTACTACTCCCTCTGCGCTTCACAAACTGGAAAACCCAACAGAAACAATAAAGAACAAAAATAAAATAAAGTGGTAAGGATAAAATAATAATACAAAGATAATAATAAAAGTAATGAGTAAGAAAGACCACCATCAGTATTTAAAAGGCCAAGGAAGAAATTTTTGTCATGGAACAAGCAAGAAATACTTGCATCTGGAATAACTTCAGGTTGGGTCAAGAGGGATGTCAACTAACCAAGTATCAAGTTCAATCCAGTATAATCACAATTACAATGATCTCTATCTGATAGTAAAGTTGTTTGAAACCCTTGCCTGTGGCTAGAAGGGCTCTACCAGTGGCTTAACCTGATTAGATGCGCTAAGATCAGTTTTGGGCTCCCACTCTCCTCCGCAGTCTTCTACAAATTGGGTGTTTTCAATTTAGGTTCTGATACTTTTCCCTTTGAATATTTAAATTTTGTTATTGTCATCATGGAAAGGATGATCACACCAGCTAGAGCGCTTTTCCACGTGGACTTATTTAGTTGACACCTTGCTTAGATAACCACTTGTTTGAATGCAAGCCTTTAAGACACCAGACACTATTCCAATTGATAGCCGGGCACCATCTACTTTCTTCACCACACTTTGATGTAGCACCCTTATCTTCTGTGATCATTTCATGAAGGTGTGTATTGAGCAGGGCCATATTATCAGAACTAATTGTTCTTGGATTGGGGCTACAGTTAACTGGGGGAGTCCATAATCCATCTCTTGTCTCTTGAGATATGCATGACTCAAGTTCACTTTGGAGGTCTATTATGACAAAAATCAAAACCACAAAGACCAACTACCCCAACAACAGCAACAAACCAACTAGCAGTAAACAAAACATACACAAACAAAAACTAACTAAAGACAGGAAAACAAAAATCCATCGAAACAAAACAAGTAAAACACCGCACATCATGCCCCTGGAGTATAAGGTGATTACACTGATAACATCATCCATTTTTCTAATGTCACACCACTCTGGGCAGTGTCGGTATGAAAAGTCTATGCAAGTACAGTTCCACCATGAGCTGCCACCCATGGGCTGTTGCTCCACACAGTTCAATCTCCCATTCAATTGAGCTCTGTTTACCTCAAGCAGGGGGATTGGCGCCAGGGGAAAACTTCCTGGATCACTTCTTCCAACACCAGATCCATGCCCAACAGATGAAATCCTTTCATGTTACTGGGAGAGACACATAGAAGCAATAAATACATGGTGACTCTGGGACAATACTATAGTATCTTAACAGTTCAAGTGCTATCATAAAAGCCACAGATTTGGCCAAGGTGGCTGCAGAAATAGAAGGGTCATGATTGCTTGCCAAAAATGGAAGCCAAAGACCAGGAAGCAAATAATATTAAGACCCCTGATGTGATAGTTACATCATCTGGAGTCGATTTGGGACTTGAGAGGATTAAGAGTGAAGCGGTGGACTCTAGTCTATCAATCAGGTTATAGCCAATGAGGCCTCTGAGTGGGCATGGCCTTCCCTTGAGGATTCTGGGAACTGCTGTATTTCCTCCTTGGAGTCAGGAGAGACTCTCACTCTCTCTCTGCTTACTTCCTGCAAGACATCCCTGAGGAGAAGCCACATGGAACTACCCTGATGCAGCCCTGGGACTTGGAGGAGCCACGTGGAGAGCCCTGCCAGTGCTGAGATGCTTCTACTGCCACTGGCTTTGTACCCACTGGCCTGTGATCTTCCTGCATTTGGCATCATTGCATGTGTTCTGTGAGTCTTAAGAGGACCTTATAGAGTGGTATCAGACATATGGGCTAATATCAGACTTATGGACTTGATCTGGACTGCACTGGGATGGTTTCTGAATATTCAACTGCTCTTGTATATAAACCTCTTTCTTACACACGTTTGTCCATGAGTTTGTTTCTCTAGTCTACCCAGACTAACACACCTGACGTCTCCACATTTCTGCCTCTCAAGATGTTCCTGATTTCTCTCTAGATGACAGGGTTTGTCTACGTTTCTCAGTCTTTCCTTCACTAAGTGGGAGAATATACACGATAGCTGCAATAGACACTTCATGACCTCTCAGTCATAATAGAACTAATGGAAGTGCAATGATCCAATTTTGCTTGGAGAACTTGTAAGATTTTTAAAGAGAATTGGAAAAGCTTTCCCAGAGTGCTCTTTGATAAGCTCTTGAAAGTTATTTTGAAAATTGTCAATACAGCTGGGGTTCTTTGCAACTCAGCTGCAGGTAACAAAGGAATATTAAAGACTGTGTCAGAAATTGATGGACTTCAGGAAACATAAGTTAAACAATATTGCAGCAATTATGACAAGTTACAATGAAATCCGTGGCAGCAAGAAATGAATAGGAGCCCACAGGATGATAATTAGAAATGCATATACATGATTACTCAGTTTTCCCTGGTAACAAAGGAACTGTCCCTCCATTGCTCCACGTTGGATCAAGTCATATTTTTCAAGAGCCACCAATTCTAGAAGCACTATGATGCTATATGGATTGTTTTTAATTGGTCATTAGAAAGAAAAGGAAGATTTTACATTTGACGAGCCCAAATGAAGCAAGTCTTAGGTTTCATTTAATAAATTTGAGGTGTGTTATGTCTTGGTGTAGGTAACAGCTGGATACTGTGCAGAATAAATGTGCATGCCAATGGATAGGATGGTCACAATGCTGAAGGACAAGAGAGAGATGTACAGCTTGGGAAGTGATGTGGATAATTGCTTGTCATTAAACTGCAGAGAAATTGCTGCAGCAAATTCCCATGTAACTATTCCACATGAAACTTCAACATGCCCTTGGACTTACTAAACATACAGAGTTAATCTCAGGTAATCTTAGAAAGAGATAGCAGTCAATGATGCATCAAACACAAAATGAGGATCAATGTTCTATTGTTTAGCCTCACAAACACGTTAGCAACTCTAAACATTAATAACAGAGAGAAGAAAAAAAGATATTGATTTTTACATTAGTAAGACCTTGGTAAAACTTCCAAATTCACTCTTTCTCTAACCGAGAATCTCGGCAGTACCATGGACTGCTAAAAAGACAAACACGTCTGTCTTGGAAAAAGTATGGCTAGAGTGCTCTTTAGAGGCAAGAATGGTAAGCTTTTGTCTTACGTATTTGGGACATATTGTCAGGAAAGTCTGATCTCTGGGGAAGGACATCACACTTGGTAAAGCGAATGAGCAGAGGTGGCCCTCCATGAGATGGACGGACGCAGTAGGCGTGGCCACGATTGTGAGAATGGCGCAGAGCCATGCAGCGCTTCCTTCTGTTCTGTGTATGGTCACTATGGGTTGGAACAAACTCAATGGCGCCTAACGACAATAAGCTCAGACCATATGTGTACTAAAGTCTGCAATGCTCTCATTGAATTATTCAAAATATCCTCTTCTCTGTTGGAGGCCCTTTAGTGAGCAGCCATGTTTATTCAGATTTTGAATTTCATAATAAGCGACATTAGGAAATACTTAAATTGCCACAGGAAGTTGAGTGATATAAAAATGCATTAATAAATGGAACTTGGGAAAAGTGAAGCAGAAGTGTAATTCTGAGAGTAACAGCATAAGTGTAAAAAAAAAGTAAGAATAAGAACAAATAAAACTGCATGAAACTCATGGTTTAGAGCATAATCAGAAGACAGAGAATATCTAAACATCAACTTGGTTCAGACTCAAGATTAGACTCTATCGTCAAGTCCATTCTAAATCATAACGACCCAGTAAGACACAGTAGAACTGCCCCTGAGAGTTTCTGGCAGTAACTCCTTACAGGGGTAGAAGGCCTTGTTTGTCTCCTGGAAGGGGGGTTGGGGGGCTGGTGGCATTGAACTGCTGGCTTTACAGAGAGCAGCCCAGCTCTTAACCACGAGGCAGCCAGAGATCCCTAGGTAAAAGGACACAAATGTTACAACGACTTACCAAAACACTAGTGGTTAGAACCTTCCCAGAAGTGCTTCGGAAGACGTGCCTGCTGATCTGCTTTCAAAGGTCCCAGCCTTGAAGACCCTGCAGATCCATTCTCCAGAGCACACATTGAGTGGGAATGGAGCTGATGAAACTAACATCCCCTGTGTTCTATGAAGAACTCTTTAAACTTGATTGCGAGAAGGCCAAACTCAAGAGAAAAAAAAATCAAAAGAGATAAAAATAACAATTCACACATATATATAAAAGAGACTTCAAAAACTTTGTGGAAAAATTCCTCTTTTCATTCCCTTTGCCACAGATTTTTTTCCAGTCTTTTTAAAAAAATCATCTTATTGGGGGCCTATACAACTCTTATCACAATCCATACATCCATCCATTGTGTCAAGCACATCTGTATGTTTGTTGCCTTCATCATTCTCAAAACATGTGCTTTCTACTTGAGCCCTTGGTATCAGCTCATCAGTTTTCCCCTCCCTCCCCGGCCCCCTCTCCCTCATAAACTCTTGATAATTTATAAATTATTATTTTTCATGTCTTACATGAAAAAGTCAGAAGTCTCCCTTCACCCACTTTTCTGTTGCCCATCCTCCAGGGAGGGGGTTATATGTAGATCCTTATAATCGGTTCCCCCTTTCTACCCCATGTTTCCTCCACCCTCCTGGTATTGCCACTCTCACCACTGGTCCTAGGGGGGTTCATCTGTTCTGGATTCCCTGTTTCCAGTTCCTATCTGTACCAGTGTACATCCTCTGCTCTAGCTGGATTTGTAAGGTAGCATTGGAATCATGATAGTGGGAGGGAGGGTGAAAGGAATCATTTAAGACCTAGAGGAAAGTTGTATGTTTCATCATTGCTACACTGCACCCTGACTATGCACAGATTTTTGACGTTCTCATGGGTCCTTAAAGCATCATGTTAAGAGGACTTCCCACAAGAGCTGGTCAGAGATACTATTTCTCCAGTAACAGACATGCAAAAAATTAAAATGCATAACACACCTTCTCATGGTGAAGCTGAAAAAAACAAGACAGTCTCTTAAGATGAGGGTGGGAATTCACCTCTCCTCTTCCATAGGAGAATTTAGGACTAATCGTCTGCTTTGGCCCAAGCAACATCTCATCTAGAACATCATTCATGTGGTACAATCCCCACAATGTAATAATGCTTTTGCACAAGATTATGCACTGCAATACTATTATAAAAGACATTTTTAAATAAAAACTGAAGGTGGTAGATGGAAGAAAGTCTGGAAAAACTCTGATATACTCATATAAAGAGTAAGACAAACTAGGGATGATTTTCATGATTGATGTGAAGTGATTATTATCAGGATGCATTATTAAAAAAGAGTGCCAAAGAGCCCTTAAAATATAAATAGCAGGAAAATGAAACCATGCCTGCTCACTTGTATAAAAGGAAGCGCAGGAAAGGAAATCCAGAGATTAATGAGATCGGTTACTTACAAAGTGTGAGTGAGAATGAAGTCGAAATGGGGGCGGGCACTAACACTTTCCTGGAGATGATTCTGAACTTTCAGAATCATGTTAATTTCCATGTACTCAAAGAGAACAAGTAGATCAAACCAACCAGAAACACGCACAGAAGAGCACCCCTCAACATGCACAGCAGTCTCAATACATAATCGTGACAGGGACATACCAACTAAACCAGACTTCGAATAAATAATGTCACTGCACCGAACACGAACAATAAACTACTTGAAGCAGATTTTGAGCACAGTAGTTAAACTATACACATGCCCTCGGGCTGAAGTGGAAAAAAAATTGTGCATTGGCTTACGCTAGCAATTCTGAAACTACTTTCTGTGTATTAAAAAAAATTCTATCTTAGAGTTGATTTGGCTCATAGTGGCCCTATGTATTTTAGGACTCAGTCAATACGTAAAGACACTAACAGGTGATGGGAGCCAGGTTTCTTGCTGTCAGAAAAGGGCGCTGCTGATGTGGAGGAGAGGCTGAAGGCCATGCTGGGACAGTCTTCGCTCTAAGTACACTATCTCCAGGGTCACTCCTATTCATCACCGTTAACAGGAGCAGCAGCAGTCGTATCAACACACATTCTCAGGCTGTGGCTACAAAAAGGAAGAAAAAGAAGAGGAGGAGGTGGAGGAAGAAGAAGAAGAAGGGAGATGGTCGCTGCACATTCTGCGGTTGAAGAGTTAAGAAACACTTAACGGGATACATTACAATTCAAGGCAGCTCATGCAAAATGGCAGGTAAGTGAAGCAGGAGGA